CGGAGGGTCAGTGCTGAGGGAGTGGGCACTGTCGGAGGGTCAGTACTGAGGGAGCACCGCACTGTCGGAGGGTCAGCGCTGAGGGAGGGCCATACTGTCGGAGGGTCAGCGCTGAGGGAGCGCCGCACTGTCGGACGGTCAGTGCTGAGGGAGTGCCACACTGTTGGAGGGTCAGTGCTGAGGGAGCGCCACACTGTTGGAGGGTCAGTGCTGAGGGAGTGCCACACTGTCGGAGGGTCAGTGCTGAGGGAGCGCTGCACTGTCAGAGGGTCAGTGCTGAGGGAGCGCCGCACTGTTGGATGGTCAGTGCTGAGGGAGTGCCGCACTGTCGGAGGGTCAGTGCTGAGGAAGCGCCGCACTGTCGGAGGGTCAGTACTGAGGGAGTGGGCACTGTCGGAGCGTCAGTGCTGAGGGAGGACCGCACTGTCGGAGGGTCAGTACTGAGGGAGCGCCACGCTGTCTTGGATATGGTCTTTTGGATGAGTCATTTAATAATGGTTGAATGGAACTTCTCAAGGATTCAAAAAGATCCCAGGGCACTATCTTAATATATCACCAACATGAACAAAACAGACCGTCTGGTCATCGTCTCATTGGCTACATTTGTATGGTGTTGCGCTCGGATGGCCCGAACGAGGGCAGATCTGAATCGACATCGCAGAGTACCTGAGATTTCCAGGCCCAGTTTCACAAACTCAGTCACTCTGTCACACTCACCTGTCTGACAGCCAGCTCCGGCCCAGCCCTGGGGACACAGACACGTGTTGGACCTCATACACGTCCCACCATGAGAACATGGTGGGGAACACATTGCTATAGACAGAGAGAGAGAGAGAGAGAGGGTGGTGCTGATGTTAGACCAGGCACATTAACATCGGGTACCTGTTACCTCCTCCCAGGAGAAGGAACTGAACATTGCCCATTACAGCAGTGAGGCTAGGGTGGATGAGAGATAACAAGATGTACAGCTGGATGAACACAGCAGGCCGAGCAGCATCAGAGGAGGAGGAAGGCTGACGTTTCAGGCCTAGACCCAGTCTCTCAATGGTAGATAACACTTAAAATGCTTTGAGGTTGACACAAGACTATGGGGAGACAGCAGGGCAATGGGATTAGTTTGGGGTTTCATACAGGGCTATGGGGAGAGAGCGGGGCAGTGGGAATAGTTTGGGATTGATATAGGGCTATGGGGAGAGAGCAGGGCAGTGGAATTAGTTTGGGATTGTTACAGGGATGTGGGGAGAGCACGGGGCAGTGGGATTAGTTTGGGATTGATACAGGGATATGGGGAGAGCACGGGGCAGTGGGATTAGTTTGGGGATTGATATAGGGCTATGGGGAGAGAGCGGGGCAGTGGGATTAATTATGGATTGATTCTGAGTGGTGCGATGGAATTATTTTGTGATTGATACTGGATGGTGACAGTGGTATTTGTTTGGGATTGATAATGGCAATAGGATGGGATTAATTTGGGATTGTTATAGTGTAGTATTCTGCCGGTGGTTACTGTATATCCTTCTGCACAAGGTAAGTTACTAACTCCCAGAATTGGACAGGTTGGCTGTTCAGTCTGCAGAATGTATGACATTGAGAACTACAGCAAGAAGGGGCAATTATTCTCCTTTAAAAAAAGATTAATTTATAGAATCATAGAATCCCTACAGTGTGGAAGCAGGCTGTTCAGCCCATCGAGTCCACACTGAGCTTCCTGAAGAGCATATCGAGTAGACTGGTGCTTTGAGCCTGTTACATCGTTCAGTCAGTACAAGGCTGAGCTCATCACAGCTCCAACTCCAGTTTCCCGTTTCCCTCAATAGCCTCCAACTCCTTGATTAGTCGTGAACTGCTGGCCTCTGCCTGACAGGATCCTCTAGCCCAGTCTCCACCATGTTCTGGGTCAGAGGGTTCAACAAACTCACAGCCCTGTACAGTGCATTCCAACGCTGCAGCATGATCCCCAGCCCCCCAGCATTCCCACTCCTGGTCTGTCACAGCCCGATCCACAGGACACTCGGCATTCCCACTCCCGGTCTGTCATATCCTGATCCACAGGACACTCGGCATTCCCACTCCCGGTCTGTCACAGCCCGAGCCACAGGACACTCGGCATTCCCACTCCCGGTCTGTCATATCCCGATCCACAGGACACTTGGCATTCCCACTCCCGGTCTGTCACATGCTGATCCACAGTCCACCCGGCGTTCCCAATCTCAGTCTGTCCTATCCCCAGCCACAGGACACCTGGATACAGGGACATACCAGAGCAGCCTGGCCCGGGGTATCCAGCAGGGCAGTCACAGGTATCAGGAGTTACACAGACCCCGTAGTTCTGACAGACTGGGTTACAAACAGCTGCCAAAAACCAAACAGAGAGACAGAATGTTAATAGTTTAAAACAGCAATAACTACAAGCATCACAACACACAGGTCAGTGAGACAGCTGATCAACTAGGGGAAGGATCTGCTTGTGTTAGGCATTTGTTGTAACTGTTAAATAAAGTGTACAGCTCCCTTTTCTGTTTTAAACTAAAAGTAAACTGAAAGTAAGGTCCCTTTGACACCATCCCCATCAAACACACCAGGACAGGGACAACACGGTGTTAGATACAGAGTAAAGCTCCCTCTACACTGTCCCCATCAAACACTCCCATGACAGGAACAACTGGGACACAGTATTTTGGGATAATGTTTCTGTCTCATGCTCCTTACAGGGAGCTGATGAGTCCAGCCCTGACACTGTTCCCAGAGGTCATACTACACACAGCCTCGGGGCTTAGAGCTAGACCAGTCTCTCCCTTCTATAAGCTTCGGTCTCTTCCTTCCACTGTGCTGGTGTGTGGGGAATGTTTGCTCTGTCACTCACACTCACGTTC